GGGAATAAGGAATAGAGCGGCAGCCTCTTATTTTGAACGTTTACTCTTCTCCCTAAGTAATATCGCCTCAAAGATGGGAGAGTGCGACAAGACCACCCTCCGGCTGGGACAAGGGCATCCGACTGCTTGGAATTTGGGGTCAATTTGAATCCAGCTCTGCAAGGGCGGTCATCATTGCCCGTTGTCTCCACCTGTAAAGAAACGCAAATATGTTAATAAATCCTTTTTATTCAACATATTCCGAGAATTATCTAAAACACCATACCTTGCTCCAGACTACAGGTATTCAAAAAAGGCTCTCAGATCCTTTAACGACTTTTTCTTTGTGCGAACAGTATTAAGGTTTTGACCGATACCATCTCCAAGCAAAGGTTACCAGCCCCAAATCCAAGATCAACATGAACCTGCTCTGGGCGAGTGAAAGGAAAGTTAACTCATATGCCAAGTTCTATGAAAGGGAAGAACAAAAAATCAAGGGAAAACCAGGAATAAAAAAAAAAAAAATAAAAAAATAATAATAAAAAAAAAAAGAAGGAAAGGAAGAACATCCTTACCTCCCAGAAGTAAGTAAGGTCCCGCTGAGTTTACAGTGGCTTCGACTCAGATCACACATGTCATCATACATACGATTCAGTAGCACCGGCCCAGTCGTACTCCTTGAAGGTGGGCCAGGTTTCTAACTCTTCAAGATAGAAGGATTAAACTTCTCCTTTCCTGTTGACCAGAAAGTCGAGGCAAATAGCAGCAACAAAATAACCTAGCTGTCTGAGATGCCGTCAGGGGCTAGAGCGGGGGGGGGGCGGGTGCGGGGGAGCTTAGGGGGGCTTTTCTGTAGCCGATTTTTCTCGCTGTATCTAGCATAAGTTGTTAGGAGCCTTGGAGTATAGCCAGCGATCTGGAAATGCTCAAAGCCGGGGGTTATAGCAAGCAGAGTTTGGCCCGACAACCCGAGGTAGGTCAATCCCGATCAGCTCCACCATCCGGTCCGGGGAAATCTCTGTCCTCCAGTCGTCGAATAATTCGATCGGCCGAGTGCCAAACGGGATCCCGGAGATCACTGAAAATCTACCGGAGTCATTGTCAACTCGCCCCAAGAAAAATGGAAAGTGTTAGTGGTGTCCCACCATCTCTCGGCCAAAGTGCACAGTAACTCCTTGTGACTGATCCGGCCCATATCCTGGTGCCTCAGGTGGTCTAAATGGGACGGACTGATAATCGCCCCAATGGGGTGGCTAGGATCAAGTACCTCGAGCGGGATTTCGGACATAGAAGTCTCACCTACATCCACTTTGACAAAAGGGTCCTGAAAAGGGAAAGCAATCTAAAAAAGCAATCTAAGAGTTGTTCTCGGATTCTTTACTTAGGACAATATCTTTAGTTCATGGCAAAGAGAGGAAAAAAAAAAAAAACCAAACCTGGCCGCACGGAAGGCCACACAAACATCAAAAAAAAAAAAAAAAAAAAAAACCAAACCGGCCACGGAGGCCCACAAACATCACAATTCGGCCACTAAAGCCCGAAAGTTCACAATCCGGCCGCGGAGGCCCAAAAAATCACGATCCAGCCTTGGAGATCCGAAATTTCACTACCTGGCCATGGAGGCCCAAAGGACCATAATTCAGCCACAGAGGCCCAAAAAAAAAAAAAAATAAATAAATTTCCTAGTGCGGTCTAAGGCCCGAAAAGGTAATGATAATAATACATTTGCAAACAAATAGGAGCGAAGAGTGGCTTACCTGGGCGAAGATGCCGGTTACGGAGGCGTGAGTATCGGCGTCCAGCGTAAGATTGACTTCCTCGACAGAAATCTCTACAGATCCCAGAGAATCCTCATCACTGAAATCCGAAGAAGCCATAGAGAGAGTTTTGAAGCCTTGAAAGTTGAGAGAACTTGTGCAAGAGAAGTTACATTGATCTAAAGAGTTGAGAATGAATGAAAATGAGAAATTATTCAAGCTATTTTATAAAGCAAGTGGGCTGGAGGCGCGGGTCTTTAAGACGCGTCCGATTTTCGCTCCAAAAATTTGTGTTCCTCAGAACACCACCGACTTCACACCCATAATTCCATTTTGTTTTTTGTTATGGTTCGACTATTGTTTCGTTGTGTTTTCCGTAGTTACCGGGTTTTCGGGTCGGCGGGCAACTGTGAATACTCAATTTGAGGCGGGTCTCGAGGGGCATGGTTTTTTTTCGCTTTAGCGAATATCGACTGGTCGCCTAGTGCGGGTATTGGCACTGTCCCGACCCGCGGGACCCGACCAGGAAGGCCATTTTGGAAGTTCACCGAAAGTATGCCAATATGGTACTTAAAACGTCCGGAATGTCGCGAGGATCGCGAAACAGGTCCCAGAATATTTTTCTGAGGTCCGGAACTCCCGAAAATGCCTCCGGAGTGAAAGACCCGAGGGTCGCCGCCGGCCACGGCAGCTCCTGCCGCCGGCCAGGGCAGTACCTGCCGCCCTAGGCTCGTTTTGGCCTATAAATTGGCCTCTCCCCCTTCATTTTTGACTTGCTCAGTCTGTGTTGACGGACACTCCTTCTCCCTCACGCTTTTGCGATTCTTTCCATATCTACACTATTCAATTTTTTGAACTTGCTCAGTCTGTGTTGACTAGGACACATACCTTTACTCCCACTCACTACTTCATATAGACGAAATTTCTCCTTTTATAAATTCGGTGTTTGGCGATTTCTAATGCAATGTTTTTGTGATAGTATATCCAATTGTATATGTTTATGTTATGAGGTTATTTCATAGGCTTTAGAAAACCTTCTATAGCAGAATAGTCTCAAACTATAGTTTTAATGATCTTTCTCTATCGCGAGGGATGCGTTAAGAGAGTGTCTAGGAGATAGCTAGAGAGAACAGCTGGTCTACTTACATGTTCCGATTAAATCAGGTTATGTAAAACAAACTCTGCCTGGCCTAATTTTATTTTATTTTTTTTTTCTCCAAATAACAATTTTAATTTAATATCTCAAGTAGGAGAGCCAGAACAATCAGATATAATGAGACTTCTAATAGTTCGTGGCAGAGAAATCAAAAAGAAGAAAAAGCTTAACGAGGTATGAGTAATTCTGCTCTGAATTGCAATAGAAGTGGGCTACTTGATTGCCCCTCGCCTGTATATATGGGTGTGAAATGTAAGAATTTGAGGATAAAAGGAAAGACCGAATAGATTTGAATCTTCTGGTCCAGACAAACTATTGTGTGTTGCTGGTAACTTTTGAATTAGATGCAAAGGAAAATCTACTTCGTATTTGGAAAGGTATCGGAATTCTTTGAGTACACCACTTTGATACTTTCATGTAGAGCAAATGAAGCCTCAGCCTGAAAAAGGAGAAACTGCTTGAGAGAGAAAGGAGTGGCCCAGCACACGTAAAATTCCCATGTGAATTTCCGAATGACAGCGCAGCGCCTCTAGAAGAAGAAAAACGGAAAAAAGGAAGCATTCACGTTAATTTATAAAACAGTTGGCAGTCGGCTTTCTCCAGTAAACCAAGAGAGTTTACCTGATTCCCTCTAACCAAAACTAGCAGGAAGCAGATCGGTAGAGCATTGGCAGGTTTTTCTAAGTGAACTTGCGATGCGAAAAACAGCAACCTCCCCCAGTCAAAAATAAAAGCCTTTTACTATCTGTTGCTGAGTATAATGAATTCCCTGGCATTCACCTTTCACACCCAGCTGAAATTACGTATAAGATTTCCATATATGTGCCACATAATTTACTAGAGGAAACTAGACGACGAAGGATGCCTTACAAGAACCTTTTGTGGCCAGAAACTAAATACCTGTTATCAGCTCTTGACGCAATGTACTACACGAGTAGAATTGCCGCCAGATAGCAAATAATTGTTCTATAGAAATTCCAATACCCATAGAACCTTAGGACATGAAAGAAACAGATGATCAACTGGTGGATTGAAATGAGCAGGAAAACATAGAGGACAGCAATAAAAAGGCCGCATTAATCCCTAACACAATTCAACTATGGAAGGAAAGAGGAAGAGCATTTGGAGCACCTCCAAGTAAAGGCCGAGAGGTTTTTAAGGAAAATAGAGAGTCCCACATCAGCTAAATAACAATGTGTTGCTTTTATTGTACTCGAAACATAGGCTCATAATACGGCAAAGAAAGTGACATCAAACCTCTGCATGAATTATTTACGATTCACGAAGTACCACTTCATTTGGAAGCACGGACAATGCGTTTCCAAAAGAGCAAGAAATCAGTCGCTTGAAAAGACATAAAACCTTTACGGTGATAACTCTGAAACATGTAGGTTGACATGATCGAATCGCGCTGCATATAAGAGAACCAAAGCTTGACTGAGTATGCTTGTTGAATGGAAGAAAAGGGATCTGGCAGACCCAAACCGCCCTCAAGCAGTAGGAAAACAAGACTTTCTGGAATTTTAACCCAATGATGCTTATTAGTTTTTGCCATCCTGTTTTACCCCATAAAAAATCTGCCATTTGAGTCTCTAAATAACCAAAAACGCGAGCTTGGAAAAGCTTCATAGCAACCCAATAAATGTATGGGATTGGACTCAAAAACAATGCTTATTAAGAACCAATCTACCAAACGCCATACGACAAAAAGTCTTAGTACCATCCCATAAGCTTACAGCGATCTTTTAATCAAACTCATTACAATGAAAAGTACGATTAATAGCCCTGGTAAATCCGGGGCAAAAACCTAGATATGGTGAAAGGGAGGCATTTCTTTTTAATTGAAAGAGATGGCTTCAAGTTGAGACGGTCCAGCGGGACCGCACAGTTTTTTTGACATAGAAAGAGCATTTTTCAAAAGTTAATCATCTGGCCCGAAACATCTTGAATAGTAAAGAAGAAACTTTTTGAAAATTTGGTGGTACTGAACGCTTAATCCCCCTAATGAAGATCAAAAGATCATCTGCAAAGCTTAAATGAGTAACCAGGGGAACAATTGGCGAGCAAGCTTATAAGGTTGAATTTTTCCAGAAGAGAACAAGATGGTATCAAACGCGCGTAGAGAAACAACTACGCTTATCCCCCCTAATGAAGATCAAAAGATCATCTGCAAAGCTTAAATGAGTAACAGGGGAACAATTGCGAGCAAGCTTATAAGGTTGAATTTTTCCAGAAGAGACAAGATGTATCAAACCGCGAGAGAAACATTCAGAAACAAGAATAAATAAGTAAGGAGAAAGAGGATCCCCTTGCTTGACCCCTCTAGATGGTGTGAAGAAACCATAATTGATACCATTAACACAAACTGACAGTCTGGTGGCCGAAAGGTTAGCTATGATCAATCGAACAATAGGTTGAGAGAAGCCAAAGCGAAACAAGACTGCCTCTAAGAAGGACCATGAGACACGATCAAAGGCTTTAGCCATGTCAAGCTTGATGGCAATATTGTTTCCTCTTGCTTTCCTGCCAATTTCTTGAATCATCTCATTAGCCAAGAGGATCTGGGAGTGAATTGATCTACCTTTCATGAAACCAGCCTATTCCGGAGATATTAATAGATCCAAAAGAGGAGCAATCCTGTTTGCCAAAATTCTAGTACACACTTTACTAATAAAGTTAGTAAGACAAATAGGACGAAATTGGTCGAAAACTGATGGATTCTCAACTTTAGGAATGAGAATAATCTGAGTGCAACTGAAAGATTGAGGTATCGGAAGGCCCAGAAAAAATTCCTTGACAGCCCTACAAACATCCCACTGAATAATAGACCAACAGTCTCTATAGAATCTCCCATCGAAACCATCTGGACCAGGAGCACTAGAAGGATCAAGTTGCCAAACCGCGTTTTTAATATCAGAATCAGTAGGAATGGCTCCCAAAGCCAAATTATGTTCCGTCGTAATTAATGAAGGAAGATACTTAAGCATTTGGCTACAGTCTTGCTGGATGACTTCATCCTGAAAGAGACTGGAAAAATGCTTGACCGCCTCCTCACCTATGTCTTCCTGCAACGAAAGCCAAACACCATCAGAGTTTTTAATTGATGAGATACGTTGAAATTTCCTTGAAAGCTTGACATAATTATGAAAGAATTTAGTATTTGAGTCCCCATCTTCTAGCCATTTAACATGAGATTTTTGTTTCCAGTATATTTCCTCAAGCTGAAGTTTATAGAGAAGGAGAGCTTGTTTTTCCTGCCATGTCTTCCTATTATTCAGACAAGGATCTGCAACATAATCTCTTTCAGCTGTCTCAGCCGCTACTTCAGCATCCTTGATAGCAGAAAAAATGTCCCCAAAAATGGTCTTGTTCCATTGTCTAATCGCATTTTTGAGAGTCTTAAGTTTAAGATGAAAACCCTTCATCCCCCCTCCAGAAAAAGAGGAGTTCCACTGCTCCCGAATCATGGGAAGAAAAGAAGGATTACTGAGCCACATATGTTGAAATTTAAAAGGCTTAGGAGCGTTGAATAAGCTCTTATTACAGTTCAACAAAAGAGGGGAATGATCCGAAGAGGTTTTACCAAGATGCTTGATCTGAATCTCATCAAAGAAATCAAGGAATAATTGATTTGCCATAAAGCGATCAAGACGCTTCCACACGCGTCCAGAACTGCGCACACCAGTCCAGGTAAAAGGATTGCCTAAAAATGGTAAATCAACAAGACCACACGAATTAGAACAATTAGAGAAGTCTCGCATACTGAGCAGATGTGGTGAAGATCCACCCTTATACTCAGAAATCAACTTAATAGTGTTGAAATCACCACCAACGATCCACGGTCCTTGAATTAAACCTGTCATACTCTCCAGCTTCTCCCACAAGGATAGTCTAGAAACCCGAGAATGAAGACCATACACAGCAGAGATTGTAAAAAGAAAATCAGGGGATCTCATTTTTGCAGAAACTGAAACAAGCTGTATATCATCTTGGAAATTTTCAAGAGCAAAGTGAACATCATTCCATAATAACCAAATTTTGTTATTTAAGCTAGTGTAAAAGTTGTTGAAACCCAAATGAGAAATAAACAAAGAACAATTGCAAGAAGCAACCATAGGTTCTATAATAATAAGCAATTTAATGTTATGCTCCGCACAGAGTTTTTGAAGATGAGTGATAGAGGATTTAATACCTCTAAGGTTCCAGCATAATATATTCATTGAATAAGGTTAGATGCAAAAGCAACTGTTTTCTTGGAACGACGCGTGACCATAGGCTCAATTGGTTTGGGAGTTTTCTGCCTGTTAAATTTCTTTTTCGTTACAGCTACAAAGCCATCATTCAATTCACAAGCTGCATTCAATTTATTCCCAATAGAGATACCAATAGCTCTCAAATCATCTATGGAGCCGACATCCATATCCATATCAGCATCCCCTTCAGATTTATGCCCAACAGAATCATAATCGCTGACCGAGTGTTCAGGACCAGCATCAGAAAGACCACCAAAAGTCACACAAGTGTTATCCCTTACCACATCCAGGCCAGAAGTCCCGCCTTCGTTATTAATAGGGTCTAGAACACTAATATCAGCATGACGATCTGAAATGGCACAAGCTGGTTCACAACCTGATACAGATGGCAAAATTACATCATCTGCATCATGTAAAGTAGCTTTGTCAGAGGGAATAGAAGTACTCGCGGAAGGCATCTGAGATGAGGGGGGAAAAGCTGTCTTCTTTACAACCCAAGCTTTAGGAGGAGCAACATTTTGTGTCTGATTCTGGGAATCTTGTTTAGATTGGGCAGGTTTTGTGGCAACAGCTTTTGGCAAAGCATCATATACATGATTTTGATCATTTTTCCTTTTGCAAGAATGGGTGGAATGACCAATCCTCTCACAAGAGCTACAATATTGAGGAAGACCTTCATATACAACAGATTGAAAGAAACCATGTTTTCCATTATTAATCCAAACTTTGTCAGGTAGTTCCTTTGTCAGGTCAACTTCTATACAAATTCGAGCTACCGAGGGTCTGATACGAGAAGATGTGGCAGCATCAATCTTAAGAGGAGTACCAATCAGATTGGCAATAAGAAATAAAGCCTCCTTATCGAATAAATGAATAGGAAGACCTTCTAGAGAAATCCAAATTGGAACTATGGGACTATCAATATGCGGTCTGAAGTCCGGAGACCATTTTGAGACTACCATAGCAAAGCCATTGAAATACCAGATCTGACGAAGCCAGCAGCGGAGAAAGTCAGTTTCTAAATCAAAATTGATCAAAACATTCTTGGCATCAATCAATCCAATTGAGAAAGGGCCCTTGAAGCCCATAGCATCAAAACTTTTCTTAAGAAAAGGCATGTTAGGTCGACCAGAATTAAAGGTGCCAATAAGTGCAAATCTAAATGGAGAAGTCAATTGAGTAACATCCTCAACAGAGAAATCAATGGAGGGAAAACCCTTAAATTTGCCAATACTAATATTCGACAATCTCCTGTTATCCTGAATAGACGCAAAGGAACGAGAATCATCCAAAGAAGAGGGGGTAGTTTTGTTACCAGAAAGGGCAGCAGCATATGAGCGGCCGGCAGGTGCAGAGGAGCGAGAATCGTCTATTGAAGAGGGATTGCAACCAGAAAAAGCAGCAGCATTGGAGCGGCCGGCAGGCTCAGGTTGAGCCGCAAGCAGCAGCATTGGAGCGGCCGGCAGGCTCAGGTTGAGCCGCCGCCACAAGAGGGGATACCAACGCCGTCGTACTGTGTCTCTATAGGACCGATTTCAACATTTTACATTTGATTTTATCTATATTTCAGATTGACCCATCAAAATACAAAAGCATCTCATCTGGATTTGGGGTCTTGCTCAAGGAGCAAGGAGTTAGAGGTTTATTAAGGGGATGGGCTCCTACACTGCTTAAACTCTGCCTATTTAATTTCAGCACTTCATGCATATTTCTCTTCTACTCCTAACAATTCTATAATTGCATAAATGCATTCATGTTATTATTTTAGCAAATAAACTATAGCAAATAAAACTGCCTTTGATAAAAAAAAAAAAAAAAATCATGAGTGTGAGAGTGTGACGCCCGATTAATTTTAATAATCGTTGGCAGTTTAAGCTTAAAAAATTCCGACCAAATATTGGCCGAAGAGTCTAGTTAATGTTAATAACTAAACGGTTCTACGGTTCAATTGCCTTATTTCGAATAAATATGGTTTAAAGTCCAATTGATCAATAATTGTGGCTAAAAGCCTAAATCAACACTTTTCGGCCAAAGGCCTTAAAAATCAACCATTTTGGCGATAATCACCTAAATCTCACCCTTTGGCAAACAAATCGCCTAAATCGACATATTTTGGCCAAAGGCCTTAAAATCAATCTTTTGAGCGACAAATCGCTTAAATGAACCATTTTGGCACAAATGCCTTAAAATCAACAATGTTTAAGTCCAATTAATCAATAATTGTGGCTAAAAGGCCTTAATTAAACACGTTTTTTTCTTGGCAATAAAATTGCCTACATTACAATTCGGTTGATCAATTTTTTTTTGGCAAACACATTGCCTATAAATTAGATTAACTACTTTCAGCGACAAATCGCTTGAATCAATCTTTTGGCAAAATGCCTTAAATTAATCAACTTATTTTGGCGAAAAGCCTTAAATCAATCATTTTGGCGACAATCCCCTAAATAATCATCTTTTGCCAAACAGATTGCCTAAATCAACCTTCTTTGGCTAAAAGCCTTTAAATTAATCAAACTTTTGGCTAAAAGCCTTAAAATCAAGCATTTTGGCGACAATACATGCATCAAAGCAGTACAGCACACTCATGCAAATTAAGCATTACGCCCTTCAAGAAGGCCTACTCGAACTAAGCACGTACGTTGAACTTTTGAATCTTCCGTTCAAAACGGAAGTACGTAGGCCACGTTCGGGATTTCACCTGGCGGCAAGTCAAAATCACATAAAACATTTTTCATTGGTCCGCAATTACATCATCTTTCACCCTGCAAAAAGCATTCATTCTTTGGTAGTTCATCAGCATGACATAGTCTCGGGATCCACTTCGGGTTTCGTCAGAACGAGGCCTTAAAAATTTGGGATATTAATCTAGTAAACTAGGTTAATTAAAATTGGAGTCACATTACGGGGTTTTTTCCTCAGGTTTTAACCCCTAAAAAACGAAATTTAAACAAGGTGGCGACTCGCTGACATTCAGCGAGTGCATGTTCTGCCGTTTAAGTCACATGAAATATGCCATATGATTACTTGGTAGAGGGGTTCAGCACGGACTGAACCTAACTTCCGGCGCATATGAAATAAACAAAATAGGAGAGTGCCTTTAGTAAATGCTTAAAACATTTCAGCATTATCTGTTGTGACGTCTCCTTTTGGAGTTTTTACTAGTCGGGTTCCATGCTTCCTCTCGAGTCCCTAACTTTTGCCTTGGAATGAAAGCGATTTTTCCAAGAGGGATCTTATTTTGATTATGTACAATTTTTTCTCTTTGCAGCTCATCACGCTTACTTCAGATAATGCGAGAAATGTGAAGAATCTCAAAAGGAATGTGTGCGACCTGCGCTTATAAGCGTCTGCCTTTTTTCTTTTTGAGGTATTGAATTCAAACCATAAAGACGATTGCATACATGGTTATTCAAACAAGAGAACACACCTCTCAAAATCCGAATGGGTCAAACGTCACTCGTACCTGGAAAATTAGCTTTTCTATTAGATGCATGGCTGAAACGGAAAAAATATCACGCGTGATGTCATGAACGTCACAGCGCATAAGTATATATTATTTTATAACGACGCAGGGGAAAACGAGGGAGTTGGGAAAGATGCATGCAACCAAACCTTATCTATTACCCACACGAGATAAGACTCGAGTTCTGTTTTGGTGAGACAAAGTTTCCGACATCTGAGTGTGTGTGAGAGTGTGGCTCTAATACTCGACAACCAGCGTCCGAGGGGGTCATTGAGGATTGGCAAACAAAGTCAGGTGAATTATCAATTGCGACAGCAGACACAAGCCATCATTGACAGGCTCAGGTTTTACGCGCTATTGGAAGCTGACTAAGGCTTTCATAATGGAGACTTTGGTCCCATGTGGCTTACAAAGTTCGGGTTCCACAGAACAGATTCGGGGCTTGCAACGTGGGCCCTACTCCTTTTGACTGCACGCTTTTAAGGTACTACGCAGGCTTGCGGTTGGGTAAAAATTTTGGCTAATGGCTCTTCGGGGGTTGGATGTGGCCTAAAACGCAAGGTTTTAGAGATCCACCCATTCGTGAGAGTTAAACAAGTGATGAGTTACCGAGAGGGATGAATTAGGGGTAGAAAGTGGAATGGAGAAAAGAGAAATCGCCACGTGGACTGAATGCTACAGACATTAAGAAAAGGAAAGCAAGTGAAACAACAAGGGGACGATTAACAGGGAAATTCTTCCATGGCTAGTTTCTGAGACCAACTTTTATTTCCATTTTTAGAACACATGTCACGCGGGTTTTAGAGTATATAGAGTTCTAATTGGCAAGACAACCCTAGTATAGTAAAATACCAGAGATGTAGTGGATGCTTTCCCAAGTGAAGTTGCCAATCTGTTTTCCGCACCGCAGGCCGAGGCGACAGCGAATAAGCTGCCATGAGCTTGACGTTTTTGTTTTTGATGGGAAAATGTATTCTTATTTATGAAGGCAGTGGTGACGAGAAAACACTTTCCTATTGGACACAGTGCCGGATAAATCGGTTTAATACAGTTTTTTGAGTCGGCCATCCGGCAATTATTTCGGCAAATGAGACCGTTTTCTAATATTTATTTCGAAAATACTCTCCCATTTTAACCTAATTTGTATTAAGGCCAAATTATTTAGAAATGGTCTAAGGTGGCGTGTTCCAATGCGAGAGTGGGTGAGGGAATTGGGTACGTCGGCTCGTTGGAAGCCAACGCACTCGAAAAAACTGGCCTCTTTTAAACGCCTTAACGATTTTTCGAATTTATTTTAGTTAGAAAAGCAAATTATTTATTGTACTTAAAACCAACCCGAATAGATACGAGCGCCGAGAGTATCTTATATGGAAAAATTGAATTAATCGCGTAGGGC